ATTATCTCATCACAAATTATTTCTCCTCAAAAGATGCAACTACCTTAAAATTCTGAACTTGGACACAATTTTGCAATTAGAAACCGCGATTTTTTTCGTATCAATTTTAAAATGACACGTGTCATTAGTTGTCCAATGCAGATATAGGTGCTCTTAAGAAAGAAGTCAGGCATATAAAAATGTGTAGTTTCTTATTGCCAAAAGTCCGTCTAGCAGGATATACACTCGATGAAAGCTATGTGACGTGACGTCGTAACCTGAAAGACTTAACAGTAACTGCATTAGGGCTCGTGGTTTTTGTATCAGTTTCATAAGAACTCTCACTCATGGAAGCTCAATATTTGAAAAGAAACTCTTCCCCAAAAATCCACGCATTTGGATCAGCTCAATACGATGATTATACAAGGCAAAACGTATTTCGAATCAATCTTCAATCAGTAAGAATTCTGAAGCAGCCAAGCAAATACATAGCATATGTGCAGAAGCAGTGTGAATATAATGTTAGGTTTGTGAAGTACCTATCATTAATTTTCCTGGATTTTCCTTATTGAAACTGCGAAAGGGATGGGTATGTATCAGTCGTATAAATTCTGACAAGAGTCCAGAGGGTGAGCGCCGAAACGTTAGCGCACTCTGTTGTTATATTGACGAACGAAATGGTCTGAGAGTTCCCGTGTGCGAAGTGAGAGCGCTGCACCCATATTCCCGTCCGAAACTCATGTCATACCTCAACTAAAATGCGAAATAGATAAGTCTGTGGAAGAAGGATACGAAGAATAAAAAAGAAGAAAAACAAAAAAATGGAAAAGAAAAACAATAAAAATGAAAACATGGAGAAAAATAAGAAAAATTGGAAAAATAAGAGGAGGAAGAGGTGTGAGAAAAGCAAAAGAATGAAAGGAAGAGGAGGGAAGAGGGAAAAAGAGAAAGAACAAGTTGTGTGTTTTTAAGCTAATTGTGAGTAAGAAACCTTAAATAACACCAATCGGTGCATAAAGAAAAAAATCGACGATCTTCCTGGACAACGCAAATCGTCAATTAAAAAATTGGGATCGTTCAATTAAACGGGACACTTGATTCACTTAACTGAATCTTTAAATTAACTGGAAACTCAAATTTACCACAAATCCTACTCAACCGAAAACCTAATCTGACCTTGCTAGCCAAAACTTTACTCAACCGGTGATCTTACCCACCGGAAACTCAAATCAATCGACCAATCGTCCGGCCGAATTTTACTTAACCGGAAATCGACAACCGTAAACTCTGCTCGACCGGAAACGTGCTCCAATCGGAAACTTGACCCAGCTGGAATTTCGATCCAACCTGAAATCTGACCCATCCCAAAATTCCAATTCACTAGAACCGTAATCCATCCGTATATGACGTGACCGGAAATTAACCCAACTGGAAAGTGTTTCCAACCGGTAACGTGTCCCTGTCGAAAATTTGACTCCACTGAAAATTTCATTCGATCGGAAATCTGACCGACCGGAAACCACAATCAACGGGATTCGTTATCCACGAAATTTCACTTGACCGGAAATCGAAAATCTTCATTTCTACTCGACCGGAAATGTGCCTCAATCGAAAACTTGACTCAAGTGGAAATCGACCCGACCGGAAATGTGTTCCAACCCAAAATTTGGTTGTTCTCGGATGGAGAATAACCAATTTCAATACCAATAAATCATTGATTTTCCTAGAACATCGCAAAAATTCGATATACGCGATTGATATATCGACTCGTTAACGTTAAAAATCGATTCTACAAGAAAAAATACCTATGTGTCGGTGTACTTCAGTCATATTAGGTGCATTTAGTCATCCATGAATCAAAAATGAACAATTTCAATCTGAAAAAATCGTCGATTTTCCGTAAAGAATCTTAGAAAATCGATATAACCGATCGATATATCGACTCGTCGACATTAAAACTCGATTTTGCGTGGAAAAATACGTAGGAACCGGTGTGTATAACATGTGTAAACAACGATAACAACCCCGTGGGCACATCAATTCAACAAGAAAATAGCGAAAAATAAGGCCGGAGTTTGACCCTTTTGCCCCCCCCATAACTCGAAAACGGTTCCTATACTCATCTTGAATTTTTTTCCTGAGTTTTCTGTTATTATAAGCTTCCACTTAAACTTTGGTTCGATGGTCAAATCGAATACCGAAAAAGGGGCGAAATTTTGGGAGGCTCTTTACCTGAATTTCGACCACCCTTACCAAATATAATATCGTATCACAAATCCAGAAGATCCATCGTCGACTTTTCTATACTTGTTTGCCCCGTAAATTTGATGAAATGCGCTAATTTAGTTCCCTCAAGCAACAACTAGAAATGGTATTTAAATATCGTCGCTCCTCTGACGTAAGGACGTATCTCAATTTCGACGTGAGCCCTGTTTTACATTTAAATCCACGCTTTTGGGGGCTCATGTGGAAATTGAGATACGCTCTTACGTCAGAGGAGCGACGATATGACTGCCCTCGGGAATCGGGTCTTTTTGCGCCAAAACCTCCTAATTGAAATATTTATGGCACACTGGCCACAGGAATATTTTGTGAACGTTGAGAAAATAAAACTGATTACATTTTTATGATTTCACTTCCATTTGATGCGTGTTAAATACACTTTTTAATTCTTCGTTCGGATTTCCGAACTTCCAATTTTGTGGTCGTTTCCTATGTGAGGTTTTGAACAGTGGCGTGGCGTGCTTTGCGATATATCGATTGATTTGCCATTTAAACCTATGGTAAAGAATCGGTTATTAAGGTGTTCGCTGCGAACACCTTGTTGATCGATCCTTTTCCATAGGTTTAAATGGCATAACAATCGATATATCGCAATTCACGCCACGCCTCTGCTTTTGAAAAAGTAACATGCGACTTTTTCTCCAGCTCAAACTCTGTCAAGTGGCCCATGGGACAGGGTTTTCGAGGGCACCTGCCTTCCTCGCCTTTTCCTCAGTTCGTTGCTCCTCTGACGTAAGGGCGTATCTCGATTTCCACATGAGCCCCGAACAGCATTGATTCATATTTGTAACAAGGCTCACGTGGGTGTTGAGGCACGCCCTTACGTCAGGGGAGCGACGTGTTTTGCCGCGAGGGTGCGCTCGCTCAACCGCGCAACTACCGAAGCGGCGCACAGTGGACATAACAGAAAATAAAGATCCACGTATATAATTTTTATATTCTTGATTATCAACACACACAAATTTGTACGGAATCAATTGCAAAATTAAAAATCTAGATACCTAAAATACCTCCCATTAGACATCATAGACACAGATTTGAGGAATTATCTCCAATTTACGCCTCCTGATGTGTCATATTTCACCGTTTCTAATGTGCACAGTGACTTGAAAATTTATAAAAAATACTAATCAAATTAGTATTTAGACATGAATGTATGAGAGAACTGAGATGTCAGAGTAGTGCAGGATTTATTATAGGGCAAATAAAATGCCACAGATTAGTCCAGATCGCTAACATCGGCGGAAGAGCGTGAGTAGTTTTGTGAAAGCCATTTTGGCGAGAAAATCCATGGGCATTTAAAACTAAGAACCGAAACTGAAATTTTGGCTATTTTCAGCAGATTTTCGGCGGGAGAACACTTCTTTTTCAGATTTTTGAGAGATGAAACGTTCCGAAGAATTCAAGAATTAGTTTCTCAGTAGAATTTTTTTGGTTCAATATTTCCAGATTAAAAGATGCAGCACTTTCCCCCTTAATTTGGAATGTCTATCTCTCATCTATTCTGGATGAATCGATCTTCACCGCCAGATTATAATATATCATACATATTTTTGAAGTTTAAAGCCTTAGAAACCGAAAATTAAAGCTAAGTCCTAGCAAAATGAGACTTATGGTTCCTAGTTTTGAATTCCCGCCAGGCCCCCACGAGAGCAGTTAATTTGCTACCAACTGTTGTAAGAATATTGAAACAGAATACTTAGCATAACAGTACTTGATAAAATCTTATTTGATCAAAAACCATTATTACACATTACTATTTATATTTCATTAAAGCTTTATAATCAGATTCAAGAGGAAATTTCTCTCGCTCCGGTCAAGTTCTTTCACTACTGGTAGTGCCATCAATTTTCTAAAGTTGCCTAACCTGTAGCAAAATTACTCACGCTTTCTAAGCATTGGCTAGATTGGACGTTAGCGATCTGGACTAATCTGTGTAAAATGCTCAGTGACTTTTCATTTCTTTTGATTCGAATAAGTAATGTTTGACAAAAACTGCACATCTTTTTGCTCATTCCACCAAATTATAAATTTTGAGGGCAATCTAGAAAAAAATTTCACGAAAAGAGTGAAGAAACCACGTTTAAAGAAACGATCTTCTTTTTTTCATCAACGAAAATTTAAACTAAGTTTCCACATCATGCCTGACCTCTCCCACTAATTCGTTCGAGTGCCGATTCCAGCGAGTTGACAACACTATTAATACTACATTTGAAGTCATTGGATCCATCGATTCTGGGCGAAACAAGTTGTCTCGCCTATAGAATGATTGTTTTACACACATTTAAACGGAGGAAAAGCAGTTTTACCAACAGTGGCGTGGCGTGCTTTTCGATCTATCGACATTTCGCCATTTGAAGCTGTGGTAAATACTTGATTATTAAGGAGTTCGCTGCGAACACCATCGATACTTTTCCATAGATTTAAATGGCAGATCAATCGATATATTGCAAAGCACGCCATGTCACTAGTTACCAACTTTCAATAATTGCCACTGTTTCGTTCCAGTGTGCGGCGCACACTGGACCGAGTCAATTAGAGAGGTCGGACATGAAATTTTTGACTAATACTACAAATTTTGATGTTAAGTTCTTCAAATTTTAAATTTTAGGGGTTGCTTCAAGAAGGAAATATCACGAGGAAACCAGTGGAGCCACTTTCAGAACCTCCAAGTTTCGTGTAAACGGAGTTGAAAGCTATTAAAGTTTGCAAATTTTGTCCGACCTCTCCTACTGACTCGACCCACCGTGCGGCGCTCGTGGCGTTGCTATGTAAACAGCCACAAAACAATCCGCGCGGCTTCGGGGGTGGTGTTTGATGAAAGTTCACGGTTCAGTCAACGATCTCGCTCGCAGTTAAAATAAATAATCCCTCAGTCATACCTTTTTTTGTCCTCCAATTGACCTAGTCATTACAGTCGCGGTGTTTTACCTCTATGCAAGTTGAGAGATTTGCTTGGAGGGTAGACAAGTTGGAGTTTGTTCTATTCTCACTGTTGTTTTGCCAAATTTTCAGTTTGAAAAAGAGTTTGGCACGGTATGTACCAAATGAGGATCACATAAGTTTGCTTTTGAAGCTTAGTTTAAATTGTGTGTTTAGAATTGGGACTGGGATTCTGCCATGTGCCAATCGAGATTTGTCGCGGTTCTTTACCTCTGCAAGTTAAGAGATTTGCTTGGAGGGTAGACAAGTTGGAGTTGGTTTGATTCTCATTGTTATTCTGCCAACTCTTTAGTTTGAAAAAGAGTTTGGCACGGTAAGTACCAAATGAGGATCACATAAATTGTTTGCTTTTGAAGCTTAATTTAAATTGTGTGTTTAGAAGTGGGACTGGGATTTGGACATATTTCTATGAAACGGAACTATGTGCATTAAGACATGAGCCATAAGACTCTTAAGAATACACGCATAACAGGGCTCACGTCATAATGCACATAGTTCCGTTTCATAGAAATACGTCCATTTTTCCATATGCCAATCGAGATTTTCGTGCAATTTTACCTCCGGGAGATTTATTCATTTTATTTGAATCTCTATTAGGCAACACACTTGGCTGCTCACAGTCACACAGGCGAGAAATTTGGTAAAATGAGAGGTCTCAGATTTTTTTTTTAAAAAAATATTTTTTCATTTTGAATTTATTTTTCGACTGAAATCAGTGACTCAGTTTTGAGTCGAAACGTGTCGGGTTTTTAATTGTTGTATTTTAGCCTTGTTTCCCGTTTTCCCCCTTGTTCTTCTCCTGTTACCATTGTCTCGGGCTGCTTCGTACAAATTAGTATCTTTAAAAATCCGATGTCGTATTTTCAGGCTTCTGTATCATTCCGCAACCTGATTTGATGATAGACATTGCGAATCATGCCTCTCTTCAACAGCAAGAAGGTGCACGCAAGGAAACCTATCACCTTCGCCACGGCTGCTTTACTGACGCCTGAAGACATTTTCAATCCGGAAAACAGCACCATTAAAATGAAACTAACCGATCAAGAGCTTCACTTCAAAAATGGAATCTGGACACCGGGTTGGTTTCTGATTTCATATTTCTCCTTAGCAGTATCGGGAGGAGATACTCCAAGCAAAACGTCTGATGAACAGATATAAGGGGATTGGTGTATGATGGATTACATTTTGCAATAAAGAACCACTATCTTTGGCTCTCCCATAAAAGCACATATCTACATATGGAAACCAATGGCATGTTTGTTGTTTCTAAAATGGCCCAGAAATAGTGGTTTCTTCTTACAAAATGTAATCCATTTTATGCCTGGTCGCTTCAGGTGAGCTAACAGTTCCAGCGGCCATACATTGTTTGGTGAAAAATTTAGTCTGAATTCGGCCAACGCAAACTTTAGCCACCTGGATCGAAATGCGTTCTTATGATCGGAAATTGCAGTTACGTGGGTCGATAGTAGAATCGATCAATCCGTATCTCTACAGTCTACAAGGCTATTTGGACCACATTTTGAAAAAGGGAACCACTATTTTTGACTCATTTTAGAAACAACATACATGCCATTGGTTCCCGTGTGCAGAAAGGTGCATTCACAGAAGAACCAGAGATAGTAGTTCTTTATTGCAAAATGTATTCCATTTATCGACCTAGGTTATTCGACAAAAAGCCAATAATTTAGACACTGGATCGAAAAATTCAGTTAAGGCCGTTCATAAATTACGTGCCGCTCTAGGGGCGAAAAGGGTCGAGAAAAGCGCTACGACGCGACATTTCGTTATTGCGAGTTAAAAGGATAGGGACCTACGACACAAAAACGTTACAATAAGAGGGGGGTTCAAAAAATGTCGAAAAATTGCGTCACGTCAGTTATGAGAGCTCCCCTTTACCTGGACCACAAACTTCGGTGTTTCATGTGAACCCAAAATGTTAACCCTTTTGCGATCTAGTTTGAACGTTAAAGAACAATTAAGCAAAAACTGAGACCTAAATACTGCACCTAATATTTTTGAAATTTGTGCTCGAAGTTGGTGAGCCATCTTCTGGGAGCTTCATTGAGAAGTTGATCATACGCTCATCCGCGACCTGAGTTCACACTGTGCTTTGGCCAATCGGAGAATTGGAGAAGATATCGACAGTTTCATCTCCAGTGACGTACGAAATAGGCTCAAAGCACGAATTCCTCTATAGTGGAAGCTCGAAGTGTCTATGAACAGCTAAGGGTGGCGACATAAACGATCCTTTGAGGACATGATTCATAATCATTAGTGTTTAATCAATCCGCACTTTTATACATTTTTCAGAAACCGAGGCCCTAGGAGAGAAATATCGAGAAACCGAGCAGCTCAGAGAATACTGCGAGGCTGTGGAAGAGGAAAATAATTTACTCAAAATGCGCCTTGAGGTTCTATTAGATATGGTAATAATTACAGAGATTTCCGCTTCCTAATTGCGTTAATTTTATGTTATGCTTTAAAAAAAAGTCAATAGCTTGGTAAGGAATTACTTTCAAGAATTTCCGTTGCTCGGTGTCCAAACGATCGGTTCAGAGCAGATTGTGGTTTTTAAGTAGTTTTTCTTTTGTAATCGTTTTTTTATGCAAAACTGAGAAAGTCGTCGTTTATAAGATCGCATCTTACTCCAAAGCGGTTGTGAATGCAATAAGTTTCTCACGGATAAAATGAGCTTCCAACGACGAACTGTGAATAATCAGAATTGAAGAAAAGGTATACTTTGTCCACTGGTCCATTTGAAAAGCATAGAGCGTGGATGGATGGAGCATGGATGTCCTCCGGGTTTCTACGAGCACTAGACGACTGTAGATTTTTATCGGTATACATGCCAAAGTGTTGGGGGAAAAATAGAAAAAAAAAGTCTTACCTATACACATTTTTTGAGGATCCACGCAAAGACGATATATTCTAGAGACTAAGCACTGTCTGCTCAGTGCTCACCTATGGTGTAAAAGTTACTTACGGAAGGCAATTCTCTAATTCACTTATTGGTGACTTAGCGTACTGGATCAACTATAGCTTCTGAACATGTTTTAAGTATCATTAAACTCTATTTTTGAGCATGCTGATCAAGAGCAGGTTCAAAGCGCTAATTGCAGAAATGCGTATCTCGTGATCAAATGTCATTTTTTAATCATACAATTAATGCTGAATATGGCCATATGAGATCAAACCGAAGCTTATTTAATAAGAAATTATAAGCGTGAAACTCTTTTTTTAATCTTTAAATGATTCCAATCTGCTAATAATAGGTTTAAAACTCTAATTGCAAAAATTCGTATCTAGTGATGAAGAGTCAATTCTTAATGCCGAAACAGGAATCTCGGCATTTTTGACGTATTTTCCAACAGTTCGAGAAATTATTCAAAATACTGATGAAGTCTGAAAAAGCATCTTATTCTTGCTGTCCTCAAGACTATCAACTCTTCTTCTAACAATAAAGAGGAATGTAGACAGTTTTTTTTACTCTCCTGGAAAATTGTGTTTTCCGAGATACGCACTTCTGCACTTTCACCATCGATGTGTCATAAGTTTTCCTACGCTGATAGGTTGCTTTTAAGGATAAGCCTGGTATCATAATTTCCTTATTATATTGCAAATGTGGTCCAATCAGCCTCACTCAATCGTCGAGAGCAATTTAACATGTAATGAGGAACAAAAGAAAACAATCTAATTCAAAACTGTCCTTCATTTTATATTCCAGATTACTGAAACTACATTGCAAAAGAACTCCATGACACAAGAACTGATAGCTCTACGGAGTGATGTCAAAAATTCTATCAAACCAAGGAAGCCATGATAGAGCAAGCTTCCTTCACAAAATTGTATTTAATATTAAGAGTTTTTATTACTTTTTATACACTTTTCTATGGTATTCTCATCCGTATTCAAGGTTGAAAAATATCTCGACACAACCTACACCTGAGGATTTTGTGTATTTCAAAGTTAATTAAAAAGCTGTTCTCCTTAATTCTTGTCCCTCATAATTTTGCATTTATCCTATTTGGATTAAAAGCTGTTGCACATTTGTCTTTTTTTGTTTAAAAAAAAGCTTCTGCCATAAATTGCTTATTGTTATTTTAGTTTTTATATAAGTATTATGTTTATTTCATCTACGAAGAAATCAGCAAATGTGATTAGCTTCAGGTCTGGTATAAAGACTTTCTGATGTTTCACTTCATAAAACATCAATCTGTACACACGCAACAACTCTTCCCATTGTTTTGATCCAACACGTTAATTTTGAGGTGTTTGCACTCCTGAGTGGTTTTTCTGAACAATCGGAAATTTCTAAGTGTGTAATTTTTTAATATAAAAATATATTTTTCTGTGATGAAAGCATTTGAGATTGACTCATATATTACGACCGGCTTCATTTTATCTCCTTTTTCTTACCGGTTTAAAAGGACCTTTATCTGCATCCCGGAGTCTTCAGTAGCAACGACTGTGAAAAATATGTTGACCACAAAATCGTAAATTTTCAGAAGATAACTCTCAAAAATTGCTAACAATTATGTTTTGGGAAACTCATTTCGAGTTATTTTAAGTAAAATTTTTGAGAAGTAAAATTAAAGTGAAAAAAAAAACCAAAAAGTTTAGTTCTCTTTAAAGATCTCCTTACTGTAGTTTTTAGCATTAAAAAGGTATTCATTTAAATTATTGAGAAAAATGTCTGTAAAAAAGTCTTTTTAAAAAAAAAAAAAAAAATTACCGTAAATTTAAACGTATGTAAATTTTACTTCAAGCATATCCATCCAAAAGAGGTCTCCAAACTCATTTCGCTTAAGAGTTTTCGAAAGTGCTTTTTAAAGGCTGTTATCACAGGATATGCTTCTTTTAAAGAGTTACGTGGAGAGTACATTGACTTTTTTTCATTTTATCTCATCTTAAAAAATAAACATCGCTTCTTGGAATCAATTACGGAACCTCGCTTCAATCTTGCGCCACGTAAGTGTCGATCCGGGTGCGTGTTAGTTGAGAGTGTCAAGACGGGTAGGCCGACCGTCTCCTCCGTAACGAGCACCTGCTCTAGTTTCAGTATTGGCGGAGTTAATTAAATTTTGAGAGCGGAAAAAGTGGAGCCGGAAGATAGATGCCTTAGTTTGACAAGAGCGCCATGAAGATTACGCGCTAGCGGATTTAGGTAAGAGGTGATTTCTTGAAACCTGCCCGTGCCGCACGCGCGCATGACGGGAAGTATCGCAGCATCTCCAAGGCGCAACACATCGCCACTCAGTCGGGATCGCGCTCCAACGGCTCGACAGCGTGCGACACTGCGCCCGCCCTCCTCGAACACGTGTTGCAAGAAAAAACGAACGAATATTTAAACGATTGTGAAGGAAGTCAAAAAACGCACGCGCGTTTTTTATTTTTTGTTTTCTTGTTCGCAAAATAGTGTGGACGCATCTGTGTAGTTCTTCTCTGCCTCCTCGTGGTTGAAGCTTGTGAGTTACCCGTCTGATGTTAACACAACGATACCGATCAAGAATTCCGGTTACAAAACGGAGTGGGTGTTTTCGATCAGGAACTGACCATTAACAGTCCTAACAGATTAGGCTGACGATACTGATACGAGGATATATTAAAATTACGACACGCTTTGAACTTTTAACTTGTAAACATGAGCGACAGTTCGCAAAATCATCCTTACCGTATGCGTAAAATCAAAGTCAGGAAACAGGGAAAATTCATACGAAATGAGTAAGGGTCGACCGTTCTCCTTCAACTTTGAAAATCTAAGAAACAATGTCAGTATGTGAAAAATGTGTGAAATGTTTCTGTGAAAAACCATTCCCTTCTCTCATTTTTTGAGGGCAAAAAAAGTACAAGAAATTGAAATTGGCCCGAAAAATTTAAAAACAGAGGGACACAGTTGATTTTAAAATATACTTCTGGTTAAGTTGAAGTGAATGTCTTTTGATGACAAGTTCGTGGTCAAAGCGACGTTCTGGAAGAATTTACGAGTAATTACCTCAAGCCCACGGTAAGCATATTACATTATTTTTAGCTTGAATTTATAAATACATGGACGTGTTTCTGCCAAACAGAACTATTTGCATTAAGACACGAGCCCTGAGACCCGTAAAAATGTATGCACATACTTTCGTTTGGCAGAAATGGATGGCATAACATACATGGCGCATACATAAAAATGCATGATGCGATGCCTTTGATTTGGAAACTTTTATGGTGAGCTTCTGAATGTACGTGACTTAAAAGGTTCTCAGCAGTTCATCATTTACTGAGCAGAAAATAAATTGAAACTCTCTTTAGTGCTTGGGGTGCTATTATTATATAAATATACAAAATATGAGAAAATGAAGCAAGAGGCTTAACGTTTTAAACGTGCTGAATGGATATCAGTCAGCTTCAAGCTCAAGCTATAGCGCAAGAATAAGAGTTACCTCTTAAAAAAGTTGACTGTAAAATCACGATGGATGTGGTGGTCAGGTCTTGAATGACTCCTTATACCTGACAAACTGTCTTAGACATTTGCATATGAATGAAAAATGCAGGAATTTTCATGCTCTAGCTTTCGGGCATAAAAAATATTCCAAAGCACAGACATGATTTGATGCAAATGAGCCACCTTGCCGATCTCATAACTTCGCACAAAATTCAAAATGGTCATTGTCATGCACTGCAGTTTCTCAACTAAAAACAAAGAACGACACAAACTCCTCTCATCCACGAGAAAAGAGCTTTTCCTCTTAAATTTTTTTTTCATATCATATGCATCTTGGAAGTCATCTACCCATCGGCCATCGTCAGCGAAACTAAAAAAAAAAATCTTGAGAACAATAAAATACAGATTTTTCTCAAAAAATCCTCCTCTCATCCAACTCATTGTTTAACATGTTCAAAGTATTCTGCGTGAAATTTTGATGATATAATTGTAGTGCTTAATTTCTTACTTTATCTAGTGGTCTATCGTCAGTCTTTATAGACGCTAATAGTGCCATACATGTCACAAAAATGCTATGTATGTCGCTTTATTCTCACCAGTAGCATTGAAAGTGGTTATATGATTGTTATTGCTTCGATCAAATTCGATAGAATTAAGAATCCTTATGGTGACTTCACCACTAATATCGTCTCCCAAGTATCAGTGATCGCGATAGATATCGATTTTATCGGTTGATTATTTCGATTATATTGGTGGCAATATATCGAGATATTATCGCATTAAAAATTGCGATGCATGGCGATTAAATCGCTACACATTGCAATTTTTGGTTCGATAAAATCATGATCAATTTTCGTCGATAAAATCGAGATTAAACCGTCATTCATCGCGATTTTTATTTCGAAAATATCACGATAAATTGTCGGGCGATAGAAGCGCGATTTTATCGCGATAAGATCAAGGATAATCGCTCAGATGTTTATGATCCTGGAGGATAATCGCAATGTATAGCGATTTTTCCGTTGAGAAATGCTACTAGGGCCATACCGCTTATTCTCGAAATGGTACACGGACTTTATGTCCTCTTTTCTTACTTCCACAGACTTTTCGTCCACAATTTTTACGTCCACAGTTCTAAAGCCCACACTATTGTTAAGTCCATTACTTAAATGTCCACTAAGTTAAGTCCACAAATGTAAAGTCCACTAATATCAAATTCAAGCGTCATATTTTAGTCCATGTGTAAAATTATATTGACAATATCGAAATGAGAAAATTAAGAGATAATGAGGTGTTGTTATCGTAACTCTTATTTTAAATGAAATGTTAATCTCTTCTTTTGATTCATCTTTTCAAATTGTCTTTGGTAAATACTTGGTTTCATTTCTATCCTTGAAATTTCCGATGTAAAATATGCCTTAAATGCACATTCTTTTTTTTAATAAAATTGATTACTTCATTTTAAAAACATTTACATTTTTAAAACGTGGTAAATATTTGTAAAACCTTTTCCAAGCAATGGCATCGATATGAATCTCAATGAGCCATAGTTGTGATGAAAGAAACTATACAAAAATTAATAAAAGAGGAGAGAAACTAAGAAGCACGCAATTTTTTGTTTTTTAACTTATTTGTACATCGACCGTCTTGAGTCAAATACGTCTAATTTTGAGCGTTTAGTTGCGTTTACACCACGCTGCAGCACAGAAAAAGCCCAAAACATAAAAGAATAAATTTGAATGCTTTGGAAATCATTAAATTTGACACGGAACGACTATTATATTTACAAAAAACACATTATATTTTCCAGTAGTACATATTTCTTTTTCATCAGTTTAAAAGGGAATAATCAATGCAAAGAGTGCAAACATTTCAAAATCATGAGTTGAAAAACGCTGACTCCGCGACTTTAAATATTAGAGCTTAACACAGAGCGGAGCGGCGTGTTGGCAGCGCAGAACGCGCACTGGCGCCTACAAACCTAACAAGATACTTCACGCATTGCGCAACGCGTGAAGTATCCCGTTAGGTTTGTAGGCGCCTACGCGCGTGTCACGCTGGTTACGTGCCGCGCCGCAACGCTTTAAGCAACTATTTCGCGTCAGAGGCGTTGCATAGTATCCTACGAGATTGAAGGCGCACGAAATAAAAAGCTAAAGAGAACTTTCAATTTCGACTGCATCTGTTACTGAAAAATGTTTAATTTGGCATTGCAGCGTTTCCTAGGTTCCCGCTTTGGTTTTCATCTTATCATATCCGTACAGTGTACACATGAACATATGTTTTTATCTGCTCTTAGAATCTGTTCTCTTTCATAACTTGATTCATGAATGAAATGTTTTTAAGAATGAAGGAACTCTTCACCTCTCTTAATTTAAAAATCTAAATTTTCGTATATACTCCCATTTTCAAAATTCTCTGTAAAAACGTTAATAGCATGTGACGTTGAACGTCTTAAAATATACTAACTAACTAACTAACTAGTAGTAGTATGCATTTATTTTTGAGGTGGTTCCTGTCATTTAAATGAGAAGGAAAAAATGTGGACATAACATGTCCAGAATTTAGACAATTTTGGACATATTCATGGTTGGACATTAAATCATGTGAACTTAATAAAGACTGGACATAAATAGCGTCAGCGTTAAATAATATCACTCAGGCTGAATGTGTAGTGGAGTCACAAGTGAATTAGCCATAATAAAATTATCTGAATCAACCAAAATTAAGGGATAAAAACAGATTAGAGATAAGAATATAACCATAAAAAAATAAACCCAAGAAAGTCTTTAACTATAGCGTTAGCGTTAGCTATAGCGTTATTATAGCGTTAGCGTATGATAGCGTTCAGTAGACATAAATAGCGGTGGACATTTATTTAATGGACGAAAGGTAGGTGGACATAAAGTCCTGGAAGCCTCGAAATCTCAAAAATGCCACTTAACTCCTCCATCCGTGAGACTCCTTGTTTGAATCAGTTATTTTCAAAAGGGAACAAGTCCATTTTTGCATGAACCTTGACTTATATAAAAGGACATGCTAACTAAGACTCATCGAAGAATGAACCTATTTCCTTTTGAGAACAACGGATTCATTTAAGAACTTGCTTCGTTTTCCCGCCCATTGCCATTATTTTTCTGGAAACGCTATATATGAGAAAGGACGGTACTGCCGTGCTAAGGAAGAACGCCGAATGAGTCTTCATGCGTTGGCAAAGTTTCCTTTGATAAAATACTAATTTATTTGGAAAGTTATTAATATTTTTCTTCCAGTTTTTCAGACAATATTGTTCGCAGTCGAATACAAAGTACCTGCAAATTTCAAGGAAAAATATGCATAACGTCTTTCCAAAATAAACTTTTAATCGGAGGGAATTTGGCAACTCTCGAATGTTTATGCGGCGATTCTCCTTATCACGGCAGGGTAGAACACACTCAAAAGGAAAAATTGCTCAAATACCTGCGATTCGACCGCGAAATAAACGGGACAATACACGACTCGTTACCGTGCGATATTTTCAATCAAAGAAAAATCGTCTTTTTCCCCTTGGGGCACCATTCCTCCCTAAAGCGCCAGATCCAAAGACTTTCTCAACCGGGGGTCGTTAATGGAATGTATGGCTCTGGGTACTTCTTTTCCTTTATTTCATTCCATTCGCTATTTAATTATCCAATTTACCGTGCTCGAGTGATCTTGGCTGAGACGTCAAGGTTTTTAACTCACATTCACTGTGCAGGAAAATTCGACGCAATAGACCATTGCAGCGCTCTACTTAATTTCAGTCTTTATTCTTAGCAGCCACTGTTGCGAAACTCGAAGTTTCTGAGAATCTGATGGGGTATGACCCACCCATACGATTTCAGTTTTTCATGTAAATAAATAAATGCATTTTTTTTTTAAACATAAAGGTGTTATTATGCCATGCTAAGTAAGAGCACCGTATGAGCCATCAGTTGTTGCCAAATTTCCTCCTACAAATCAAGAATTTTCAGGACAATTTGAGAATATTTCTTTTCTGACTATCCAGAGAATTTCTTTGGTTATTAGATCTAAATATTCTGAAAATGTCATTTTTGAAATTCATTGATTCAAATTGAAGATTTCAAAATTTCAAGGAAAATCATTCATAAGTAAAGGAAATAGAAATGAATGTTTTCAAAGATGAAATTTGGCAACATTCGAGTGCTTTTACGGCATTTTTATTTAGCACGGCAGTATTATTCGCGCTGCCTGAAAGGACTTGAATGCCAACCTTGCTGAAAGCGATCACGTTGGTACTCAGCTTAGAGTAAGTTGTCACCAACATTGTACCAAAATATAATACCTTGTACTTTTACAAATATTTCATCATTTCATTCATGTGAATTTTGAGAAAAGTTTTAACTAAAATTTTAGCCGTTTATAATGCACATTTTTCAGTTTATTTTGTGTTTAGCGTCAATATGATCTATATTTGGACCGCGTTAATCAGAAAAGAACCAAGACACATCAGCTTTTAATTGGCTAATCTAATTTTTTACATGAAAACAGTTGTGCGGATTTTCGTGCAAATTTCAGTGAATCTTCTCCACAGTACGAAGCAAATTCCTCAACATTTTCAAAAGGATCCGCACAAACGTTCTCTCGTAAAAATTAAATTGCCCGATTAAAATTGGCAATAGCTGATGTGGCTTGGTTCCTTTCTGTTAAACGCGGTCCAATTAGAATTGAACAAAATTAAGATGTCGAAAAACATTTTTCAACGTATAAATCTCGGATGAATTCTATTTAAAATAGGACAAAAAACGTTTCCTATCTCATACAAATATATATCTCGTATATTTTAACCATTTCCCTTACTTTTTTTGAAGTTCAAATTTAACAGTCAAAGCCACTGGGGTCGCCTCCACCCCGCTCATGAGAACTGAGCATGAAATAAGGGATGCGGGAGAAAATCATCGGAATGCATGCAGAAATAATGAAAAGACAAGTAGGGCACCGCGTATTGCGGTCGCTGGGTTCGGGGTGTCATTTTTCATCCCGTACGAGGAACGCTGAAATGATAAATATTCTCATTCGCAGGGTGCGCTTTGTACCCAGCCTCGGGAAAAAATGTTATTATTTATTAAAATCATAATAAATGCCAAACAGGTACTTTTTCGCCGCCCCCTCCCCGTTCCGTATTTAAGAGGAAGGGTTGAAAGAGGGGAGGAGAAAATTTCTTACAAGACAAGGGCCGTGCTTTGTTACGTGGGGATGATTGAGGTGAGCTTCTTCGTAATGACGTCATTTCTCTTCCATCTGTTATGATTATATATAGGTCAAGTGGAAAGGGCCGTTAGATTTTTTTCTGTTTTCTATTCTCCCACCTGCGTATCGCCCGCACCACCGCCTCGGAGGGTTAATGTGAGCAGCGCAGACGTTCGTCTGAGACGAGATGAAGTGCTCCCTGCTAAATTTCCTCAATTCTCCCTCTTCACTTCCACCCACGGCTGCTCTTTCCTTTTCTTGTCTTATCTGCTGTCTCCGCACATAAAAACAGCTATAAATGCAATGCAAATTTTAGAAACGAGGTTCCATTCAGAGGATAAAGTCGCTGAACCTTAAATAATCAGACAGTTCAGAGCTAAAAGCAATGCAAATGCACATTTACGATAGCATAGCTGTGATATGATTTTCCGTCTCCACCACTGGCCAGCTTGAGAGAACGGCCATTTTGAATTTATGAACATATTTGTAAAATAATTCAATCATCATTTTATCTTACTAGTAATCTGAGGCACGTGAAGGCTGGAGATCGATATTCAAATCAGGTATTTTGTCAGGTGCCGAAGGAGAAGTAAAGTGTTGAAGATTTACATAAGCTACATGTTTTTGCAGAAGAGATCTCGATTTTTTGTCATCATGGACCTATGTACGCTGATCGAAATAAAAACGTGCCTTAAACTTTCCGTATGAATATACTCTAAAGGTATCATATTCGCTATTGAAACTGTGAGTTCTTCACAGTTTATGAAATTGGGTAAAGGAACACGGAATAAATCATTCTTTCAAGCCTGCGGAAGTGCGGAGACTATAGGTTTTCCTGGAAAAATGAAGTTTTTTGAGGAGTACCCAATTATCTGGGAAAGAGGTGCATAATAAAGAAAGACTAGATACGTTTTTGGATTTTATTGCCAAGAATATACAGAGCAAAACTTTCATTGCAAATTTCATGTTGAGTTTCATAACGCTAGGTAATGGAAGGCTGTTTGACTGCCAGTGCCAGGTACATTCGCAATATATAGTTCTTTTTCTCAACAGAAGTTTCCACTTATTTTCAATTTTTAAGTGTTCACCTAACGTTGTACTAGTTACCAAAATTTAATCCTATTTACTTAAATATTTAAATGAAAAGCCCGTATACCCTGGTAAAAATTGGCGATAAAATCTGCGTTTCAAAATACCATAGGAATTCTTATAGCCGACTAAAGAAGGCTACAGAAAGTCATATGGCTGGCTCTGGAATGCGGAGAAAATCATACGGCCGGGCTATACGAAGCGATAAAAAATTATGCATCCGGGCTATAGTTCCTATCGCCGGGCTTTTATCGCCTGGCTGTTGCTTTTTCGCCATCGATTATAAAAGGCTATAAGAAATTGTGTAGAAATTTGTGTTCTTTGGAAATCATTAAGTTTGATACGGAACCACCTTAATATTTACAAAACACACGTTATATTTTCCTTCAATACATATTTTTTTTCATCAATTAAAACGAGAATAATCCTAATAGGATGTGCAAACATTTCAAAATCATGAGTTGAATAACGCTGACTCCGTGAGATTAAATATTAGAGTCTAACACAAAGCGGAGCGGCGGCGACGCACTGGCGCCTACAAACCTAACAGGGATACTTCACGCATTGCGCAACGCGTGAAGTATCCCTGTTAGGTTTCTAGGCGCGAATGCGCTTTACGCGCTGGCTGCCGCACCGCAGCGTGCCACGGCGCTTGAAGCAACTATTTCATACCAGAGGTATTGCACAGTATCATGCGAAACTGAAGGCGCTCTAATATATTAGTAATGGCAGGCATCCATCTAAAGTACGGAGCTTTCCTTGCAAAATAAATCAAGATACTACGGCCCAAAAAGAGAGCAGTGGTCCAAAAACTCACTAAGTCCTAGCATCCGTAATTAGTGACGTTTAGCATACACTTTATCGCCTGGCTGTTGCTTAATCTCCATCGGCTATAAAAGGCTATAAGAAATTGTGTAGCCGGCTACAGAAGCTATTGGAAATCTTACAGCCGGCCGTAGGTCTATGGTATTTTGGAACACAGATTCTACTGCCAATTTTTACCAGGGTAGTAAAACTAATTTAGACATATTGTGATAAAACTTTTCTCAGCTAGTTTGGAATGAAGGAAAATTGATTAGTCTTAATGGTGCTGAGTCATTAAACTTACTTTTGGAATTCACTACAGAAACAATGTTAAAGGCATAAAATGAACTTTTTTATATCGGCGCCGCCGTTTCTAGGCGTCTCCGAAGCTCTTATGATCTAATTTTAATATCTCTTATCCTCCAGCCGGCAGCCAGGCAAGAAATTAGTCGATTTCCTTCATACAGCGTGCAGTGAACTTTTGATAATGGTTTCTTCGGTCTCGCAGTGGTTAGAAATGTAGACACTATATCTAGAGGTAAGACCGAATCTCTCACAAAATAACGATTCTGAAACAACGGAGGTCTTATAAAGTAACGTTGCATGAAGTAAGGGGTATGCAGCAAAAGGCAGGAATTTATTTCTAGTGAATTATAACAAAAATTACTGCTTGATGATGACTATATTCTAAACCGAAGTACCTCTATTGCAATATCTCAGAATTTTGGGAAATATTTCATTTTATGGGAGGCAAACAATCCACAAAATGGCGCAAAATATTCTTGAGTTTTAAACGATTGAATGTGTAAGCATGATCGCTTCTTTCGATCAACTCACTACACCAAAGACCAAAGCTTTATGCTGCCGTGCTAGGGAAGAACGTCGTTTGAATATTCGAGAGTTGCCAAATTTCCCTTGATAAAACATGTATTTTTGACGACATTCGTGCACATTTTTCTTTGAAATTTTCTAATATTTTAGATTAAACTATGTAAAAAATAGTCTGAAAATTTTAAAAAAATATATTCCCAATTTTCCCAGTAAATTCGGTTTTTATCGAAGGAAACTTGACAACGTCTGAAGGCTCATACGGCATTCTTCCTTAGCACGGTAGTATGGGTCACCCGTTTGATCCGAGCAAAAATATCGCGATTCGACCTTTAGCACACTTGAAATGGTCCGTTTCTATGGAAATGCATCTGGACTTTAGAACACTTCAAATGAGCAATTTTCCAATATCCGAGCACATTTCAAGCTCATCTATTATAACTTTTGGGTGATCATTGATGGAGAAACAGTTTTTATACGCGTTCAAAGTTTCATACGTCGATTAATTAATTACTCGATTGTGTCCGAGTTTCAATGGATCGAAAAATCCGCGTTAATTTTGGAGTTATTCGAGTTGAGATATGGCGATGCCGTGAGAGCAAAAATTAATACGCCTTATATCAGCTGAGTATTATTTTTAGATTTTTCATAATCTATGATGCACCCTTATTAAAAGGAATATGCACTGCAGGTGAATTGTTCTCTTTCCAAATATCCCTTTATCCCTACAGGTTAAACTATTCGAGGGAACATAGAATCGCTTCTTTATCCGGCATCCGAGGACCGGAGATGTTTTTTTTTTTTTTTTTTTTTTTTTTTTTTTTTTTTTTTTTTTTTTTAACAATTTACTTTTTAGTCTCAGGACAAAATTACTGGGTAACGATTTCTTTTTTCTTTTTTTTGTGGGGGGGGGGCGAAGTAACTTTTGCAGTATGCATGCTGGATTAGTTATTTTTCAATTCTACGTCAATATACATCTTAGATATAATAATGTGAATTAAGGTACCTTCTTAACTGGACAAGACAAGGGAGGTTCCAAAGCGTCAAAAAAAATCCTAAAATTAGGGATAAGCTTCACTGCACCGCAGAGGTCTGGCCATTTAATACTCGTCACGTGTTCACAAGAGCTTAGATCTGTCCTATCTTTGCATCTATCCATCTTGATCTGCAACTGATCACGAAGAAGAAGAGAAAGCCAATCATTAAGGAACTGACATTACTGACAATCGGACGATTTGAATAAGTATCAGCTTATCTGCATTTGACGATTCCTAATTGCTTGTAATACTTTGTTAATTTGTTTTGCAGAAATTGGAGGAACGCAACGGCTACATCTTGAAACTGTGTTGGGATTTCCATAATATACACAGAATATATTCTCACAAAATTCAAGTCAGGATTTTGCTTATTGTGAGAATTTTGATCCACCACTGTTATGAGTTTTGCGTGTGATTAAAAGAAAAGCCAATCAAATTTTTAGATAGAATTGAAGAGTGTCCAACAGTTTTTTGGTAAAATTTGCCATTGAAAGTGTTGCGACGTTGAAATGAAATTACGTGATTTTGTCGGAAAGGTGACGAACCGGCGACAAAACTGCAAGAACAAGTATCTCAATTTGCGAATCTGAGGAATTTAAGTTATAATTCATCATTTACATCTGACAGAACACTAAACGTCATTTCTTGACCACCAGAGGCGGATCCAACAATTTGGCAACACCGGATTTCCTCCATTTAAACCTATGCTAGATCATCGATTCTTGTCGCAGAACCTGGCCCCTCCAGGAATCGATACATTTCCATAGGATTAAATGGAAAAAAGACAATGTTGCCAACTTGCTGTATTCACCAATGCTGACAACTTCCCTGATATTTCCGCGCGGTTTAAAAATATTCTTCGTAAATTTAGAGAAATGGTCTTGGCTTGTTCTACTTCAATAAAATAAAATAGAAGCGGATATTTTAAAACACCGTAAACGAGGAGCGCATTTTGAAGTTTAATCGTCGTATAATGTTCACTTAAAATAGTTCTAACCGAAATGGGGTCTCGGATATCCCTGTTCACAAGTACCCAGCCGTTCATGTGAAGTGACGTGTCATCGCGGACGAAGGAAAAGTTGGTAGCCTCCCACGGATAATCTTTGTTCTCGCACTTCTCGAAATACTCCACCATGAACGCCTTCCGTCGCTGCAACAGAACGAGACGAGAGTTTTAAGTCAAAGATTATTCAAATTGATCCACACTATGGTACAGGACCCCGTTCATCCGCGGAAATTGGTACCGAAAGCAGCGCGGATAACCGGAACGGAGAACATTATCGTTACTATCCGCGTGTAATCTTTAACCGTGGATAAAGGAACTAAAATGCTTTATAAGAAGCTGCGCTAATTAAGCGCTAAAGAATAGATTTCTGACTTTCTTGAGATACCATGATTTCCATGTGATTAAATCACATGGAAAATCTACTCACTTGCCTGCATCTCTTGTGTGCAATACGTCGCTCGCCTGACACACGGATGGGAGGACGTCAGTGGCGTGGCGTGAATTGCGATATATCGATTGTTATGCCATTTAAACCTATGGAAAAGGATCGATAAGCAGGGTGTTCGCAGCGAACACCTTAATAATCGATTCTTTACCATAGGTTTAAATGGCATAACAATCGATAAATCGCAATTCACGCCACGCCACTGGAGGACGTAACTACACTGTGCAATGGACCTCTTCGCCCATATAACTCAATGCTTTTCCGGGCTCATTGGTAAATGTAGTTACACCCTTTTGGCAGCCACGCGACGAATGGATCCATTGAACAGATTGTTGAACTGTTGAAAAGTGCACGACTGTTTCAGTTTGAAGTTGCGCACAAAAATATGCGGTCATCCACTGAGAGAGGGAACTATGTGTTGCGGAGAACTCAAATATATTAAGACTGAAATACTGGAGCCGATCTGTGGGCGAAAGTTAGATTAACAACGTATCCCCGAGGACACCCGATATTGCGAATCGAACTGTGAACGAAGTTATATATAAAGATATGAAGTTTTATTGCATGAAAGTATGAATGATATGAAGTTAATCGTTTCACAAAGTTTTTTTTTTCGCGCATACTTTAGACGTGTTTTTATTTTTGCTCGCCACACACATTCCTGATGAACTCGCCAGTCATACCGATTCCAAATTGCAGGACCCGCTATGTCCCTTGAACTATTTATTTCCAATTTGCGAAATTGCTATTTGGTGCATTTTGTCACCTTGCGCTAGAGTTGGAAAGTGGGGCAGCGTTGGGAGGTGATCGTGTTCGGAGCACACTGACCGAATGAATGAATAGGGAAGAGTGAAAATTTGTATGATTGGACAACCCTTTTAGGGAAGATATTAATCGGACGACCGCCCAGGAGATGGGCACAAAGTTGGCTCTTCTCCTGATGATAATTGAATGTTTTTAATTGCTGCGGTTTTATTGTGTTTTATTTAAAGGCTTGGCGAATCTTAATCTTCTCTGTTGATAATGATTGATTGTCATTGCTGTTTCTTTTATTTATTGGCTTGACAAATCTTTCAAATGTAAGTATGGCTAATACAACCAGGCTGTGCTGTAGTTTTCAGTAAAATACGAGGAAAAAGTATTAGTCTCAGAGAAAAACAAGAGGGAGAAGAAGAAGAAAAAGAAGAGAAGGAAAAATATTTTAAAAATGGGATTTTCAAAAAAAAATTAGAAATATTTTTACGTATTACTTTTAAAACCAAGCACAAAAATAAATTTTCCAGATTAAAAAGAAGTATACCAGAACGAAGAGTGCCTAAGTTGTTTCTATATTTGCTTTAAAAAAAAAATAAAAAAAAAATCCCCAAAAATTTGTTTCATGAGGATTGAAATGGTCCATTCTTAAAACAAAATTGGTTTTCGGCGTGCTATTAAAGAGGGTTCCTCCTCTCAAGGATAGTCACAATTATGCTCATGTGTGGTCGTGAGAAAAATGCAAATAAAGAGTTCCGCTTTAAGACGCTGGACTTATCAGCGATTAAGCCATCACGTTATGTTTGATTTTACCTGTAAAATTGAGGGAGCTCTCGCCGGAAAAATCGGATGAAAAAAATAAAAACTGGAAAGCACGAATGTCACATGTAGATGATTCATGGCAAAGCCATCTGACACGGATTCCACAAATCTAGTTTTAGCGATACCATTTTTCGATGAGGACGGTCATCATTGAACAAATAATGAATGAAGTGTTGAAGATTCGCCAATTTGATTATCGAAACGAGTTGTTGTCAGACTGGTTTGATTAATTGACTATGAGACTTTTTTTGGATCGCTCAAAGAGAGAATGATTTCTTTGCGTTGAAAAGAAGGTAAGAAAAGAAGGAAGATCGTTTTTACACGATGGCATGCTCAAATGGGGGTAAACCGATATCGTTTACCCCCATTAAAGCTGAAAGCTTTTTCGTCTTTACGATGCATAGAGTAGGAAATCGTCACATCATCACGGGAGAATCTTTAAAAGTCCAGTCATTATTTCTAGCAATTTCTGAAATATGTCGTGTATTTACGCAATTGCAATGTATACTCCTTTTCTTCGCGTACCATTTTATCTCTATCATTAAACGTCAAGAGCTAGATGTGGCTCATGAGTGAATTGTGTCCATACCTTTACTCTAGATTTTAATGCACATTTTAAGCCTATAATGAGAACTGTATGTCGTGTTGAGGGGAGGAGGGGGGGGGGGGTCCTTAATAATATTACCCTGCATTTTAGACTTCTATAGCCACATTTTCAATTAGGATCTTAATTCGTGAGCTCCCGCATAATGTTTTTTTGGCAACTTAAAATTATTCTGACCAAATATGATGCCTCATATGAATTTATTTCATCAAATTCAAAGCTGAAATTTTAAAAAGCCACTCGCAATTGAGACCTACGTGTAACTTGTTTCCCTTTTATTTCTATTTAAGTTAAATTAAAAATGCACTGAAAAAAGCTTCTGATCTGAAATTGAACGAATTTTGGCTCAGAAGAATTATGTGAAAATGAATGGAATTAAAAGGAGCCATATTGAGCGCAAATCCCATTAATTCTATTTATTAATTTTCAAATGGTTCTCTGTATCATGAACACTTCTATACAGTAATTACAAGACACAACTTTGAACACGGCGCAAAAACTATGAGTGCAGATAAATCATGATTGCTACTCTTTTCTTCGGAGCAAACATGATCCCTTCATATTTCTGATTTTTACCCTTCGCTGCAATAAAAAAAAAAAAAAAAGAATTAACCGACATCAATGACAACACAGTGAAAATGACAGATTTCATCTGGTGTAATTTAAACATTAACTGCGCAGATGCAGCGATATAAATGATTGTACTCGCTTGCAGTTTATTAGTACATCCAGTGACATGCGCTGCTTGTCATCATGATAGTGGGTGATTCTCGAAATAGACTCATAATGCACAGTCGCCCTGGATCTGGAAAAAACCTGATTATTTGAAACAGTTGCCCTTGCTACAGCCTCTCTTGCAGTACTAAATTTAATAGAGCTCGTAATTAATTTATGATGTCCTAGTTCTGCATAATTATTACCTTATTTTTCAATGTTTTGATCTTTTTTAAAATATCTCTGCTTGGCCCATTTGATTACATTGAAATCCATATAGTCACAAATATAGCAACTGGATTCATTGCTGGCTTTACTAGTTTAAAAAGTGCTTTATAGTATACTTAAACTTAAAGCTTAACGCGTCTAATCAATATGTATAATTTTTAAACTTCAAGTAAAAAGTAATAATTTATCCGTATTTACGGAACTTTCTACGTTACCCCGTAAGACGTAAAGAGAGGTCTCGTCGATATTATGCATTTATGAGGTATCCTCACCTAGCAATACAGCCAAATGATTAAAAAATGTAAATAAAGTTAAAATTGGAATGAGACATAGTAGGTAACCCGTTACAAAAAATTTCATTTTAACCAAAGATAAGTAAATAGAAATCTCATCAGTATGCTATATTAATCAATGAAGTATCGTTAAGAGTAAACTGCGAGACCCCTTGGCGCGTATTATAGATATCTAACAATGGTAATTAACTAATCGAGGCAACTTAACTAAGAAATTAGAAGCTCCGGAGCGCAATAAAACTTTGCGACGACTCCATTTGTGTAAATGCTCCTGTGGTAATAAATTCTTACATCATGAGGATGTTACAGTAACAGCCGGAACGTTCATATATTAATGTGTGAGAGTTTTTTAACATTCCGGACAGTGTTCGAAACTCACAGGCGCCAACGCGCCAAATGCGCCTAAGAAATCAGTCATGGCGCCTAAAAAATGAAGACTCTGCGCCATCGTGGCCCCTAAAAATTCCCCTCCTCCCCGAATTTCAATTCCTTGACGCCGTGCATTCAAATTGTTTCGAGCTGAAAAAGGCACGCCCGCCCGCGCACACTATACACAGCGCCTTCGACATCCTGGGAATACTCCCAACGCTACACCGTCACGCAGTAGTGCACACTCCGGCAGGCGCAGTATAGGCAATTTGCGCATCGGGACGTATGTGTAACGGTGTAGCGTTGGAAGTATTTCTACGATGTCGAAGGCGCTGTGTATTATGTACGCGGACGGGCGCGCCTTTTTTGACCCGCAATAATTCGAATACGCGGCTGCAGCGAATCCACAATTCCACACAGTCCAATACCACAGTCCACCCACGATCTACGGATCGGGCGGTCGAGCGCACTCTGTACGCCTATAGTGAAAGCAGATTTCAGATGGGAATTATTTTTTTTTAATATTTACTTGGTTAAACTCATTAGCTGGATGCTCGGAGAAGAATGATCTATTCATAATTTTTCCTCCAAATATTAATTGTAATTCTTGTGCACGCCTGGGAACACTTACTGGGATGCAAAAACCTACGTCTTTCACTGCGATTTTCCGGGAACAATGCAATTTTATCGCTGGTGTAAGCTGGCCTTATTATTTTCACCCGAGTGACCACGCGATCATGTTCGCGCACTCGGGAAGTTTTTACACCCGCGTAGCTATGGAAGTCAGGGGGGGGGGGGGGTGGATATTCCCCCACGGAATGAGACTGCGTTAAGCAGAAAGGAGCCGAGCCACATAAGCTATTGCCATATATAATTGGGCAATTTAATGTTTTACTTGAAAATTATTCTACTGATT